ATAATTAAACTGGTAAATTAACTTCTATTTCCAGGACCAAGAGGACAACCAGGACCTGCTGGGCCGCCAGGTCCCCCTGGACCTCCTGGACCTTTAGGAAAGATAGGGTTTTCTGGAAAACCTGGTCCTGTAGGAACTAGAGGTAAGAACTATCTCTTTACCTTGACTGGGAATATTAAAACAAATATTTTCATACATTGAGCTCCACTGCTTACTCTACAGGACCTCAAGGGTTGCAAGGACCACAAGGTGAAAGAGGCCTTCCTGGGCCACCTGGGCCCCCAGGGCACTTCTCCATCAGGGGAGATGTTTTCACTCTAACAGCTAAACAACATGCCCAGTGTGAGTACAACAGTCCACATTAAACATGCTGCTTTATCATTTTAATTAAAAATAGCGTTAAAGTAATGCATAACTGAGTGGAAGAAAAAAAAAAAAAAAATGAATAAAATACTTCAGTTAATGTTTATATCCAGTCTTTGCACAAACTGCAGCAACCTTTCACATGTTATCCTCAACATGACCATAAGATGGCAGCATTGGCACAGTATCAACTTAAAAAAACCTCAGAGATCTGGATCAGTTTAAGAGTCTGGTTGGCTTCTGTCTGTCAGCAATTAATCTGAGTAATTTGTTAGCTGTCTGTGAAGCAGCATGAATCTGGATAAACCAAAGCAGAACCTGAGCACCAAATCCTGCTGAACAGAACAGCAGTACAGCTGCTCAAATCACATTTGCTGCAAGTGAAGTTAAATTTTTAATAGTACATCTGATTTGTTTTCACCTCAGTATGATCATATCTTACATGTCTCAGATGAAGATAGTGACTTTGCTGCCTATCGTGACCTGCAGGCTTTTCTTGGTCCTCCTGGGCCCTTCGGCCCTCCTGGTCCACCAGGTACACTAGAATATCAGAGCATACATAACAGCATCATCTCGTACCGCCCAGCCATTTCTTTACACATTTAATCTTCTATCTGTACATCTTGAACAGGGCCTGCTGGACCACCTGGACACCCAGGTGTTCCAGGGAAAAATGTAAGACATTTTATATCATTATGCTCTATGATATGCATTTACAGTATGTATGTATGGAATAAATAATTGAACAGTACATATAGATGTACAAGGCACAGTATACTGATTAATTCACATTTATCATAGGCTGCCTTAAGCTTTGCAGGCACACCAGGTGACAGGGGACCCAAAGGAGATCCAGGAGAAAGAGTAAGTCATCGAAGGCCAACATTTAGATATAAATTAAATCTTAATCGTATACATTTTGCTTTTTGGATAAAAATATGTTTGTTTTTATTTGAGCTGATTAAATTGCATTGCTCTATTTTCAAAGGGTCCACCTGGAATAACAGGAAAGCAAGGACAGCCTGTGAGTGCACATAGTGGATTGCATTTATATTTTCACAGTTCATTCATTCATTTGTTTGTTTGTTTTAATTACCAATTACTATTTTTTATATCATTTTTAATAAATAAATGCATTTATTTTCTAAATAATTTTTTATATTTATATATAAATGTATTATTATAAAATTCACTTTTTTCTTATTTTCTTTTGTTGTGAATAGGGTGTTCTGGGTCCTAAAGGAGAACCGGGAGAGACTCCAGGAGATGTAAGGCTGATGCACAAAAAATTGGGATGGTTTTTTGAGTTTTGGATGTGCTGTTATGATGATTTATTGTCACTTGCTAAAGCCCCGCCTTCTTGCAGGTGCAGCAGTTGAGGGAAGCTCTGAAGATTCTGGCCGAGAGGGTTCTCATTCTAGAGCACATGCTCGGCATTCATGGTGAGAATTATGGATTAGTATTAATCTAGATTTCCAGTTATGAGTTCTAACTAGAGAGCGGTTGGATTCCAGAGCGCCATTATGATCTCATGGCATAAGTTGTTGCTGCCAGAGAGGTTAGCGTGTGTAGCAATTATTTAGTTATTGAGGTTCCATGAGGTTTGAGGTTCATATTGCTTTTAAGAATACAAAATGACATCAGAGGACTAGAAATATACAGCCAACTCCTTGTATTTAGACACACACATGGTTATGCAACAAATTTCTCTTTATTTTTGTTTCTTTCCTTTCGTCGCTCTGCCCAGATACTCTGTTGGACTCCGGTTCTGGAATAGATCTCCTGGCGGACTTCATGCTAACAGACAGTGCTAAAAATGTTGCAGCTGCCAGACCCTCCTCTCCTCTTACCTCAGACAGAGAGTAGCCGGACGCTGTTGGGTATGAAGAGTAAATAACAAACACTTGTGACCACAAGGCCTTTATCTCCTGTCTGTTGCTTTGAAGGACAGATTCCTATTTGTTTATGAGTATGATAAGAGTGACACTGATCTTTTCTATTTTATTTACTTTAGTATTTTGTTTAATTGTAATATTCTTCTTGTTTTGAAAACATTTTGAAATCACTATATTTACCTGTCGAAAATGTGTTTTCTTTGCCATTCATGACCCGTTTTACTTGCATTTACTTAAGGGCAGGCCTTTATTTTAGTCATTAGGAAATGATTGGATGGTGAAAAGTGGGAACTACTTCCCAGAATGGAGTCGGACCGAATGTGAGTTTGCTAAAATGATGGCTAGTTAGCTATTGGTTAGAAGTATTCAATAGCCTGTGTGGCATAAGTGATGTCAGCAGAAAAGCAAGCAAGTTATGAAAATCTGATTTTCATGTCAACTTGAAGTGTCTATGTACTGTAGTTCATTTCTTTTATTATAGTTAAAAGTGAGGATTTTGGACGGGCAGGTTATCTGGCTTAATTAATCAACAAAGATGATACTTGATTATACAAAAAAAAATTCTTGACACTATTCATTTCTTAATGAGTTTTATGTGGCATGAATAATGATTTAATACCACAGTCATTCAAGCTGAAAATAAATGTTTTGTCAAAGACTTTACAGAAAACAAAAAAGGCCTAGTTCTTGTCATTTCCTTTTTGTTTTCTGATTGATGACCTATAATGACCTTCATGCACATAATTATATATAGCAGTGGCTTTGTATTAAAACATTCCTATCTCAATACTCACAGCAAACAAAAAATAGACTAGAACAGAACCTTAAAACCAAATTCGGCCATTTGTGTGCATAGAAAGTGCAACGTCTACCACAATAAATTGTGTTTACACCTCTGCTCACCTGTTCTTATTCATAGAGCCTATCATTGACTCGCTGAAAACCCAAAATGGCAGAACACACCAAGGGCTGCTATTAATAGGGCTGCAGTGAATAGCTGGAGAGACAAAAGGCCCTGTTGACCTTGTTCGCAGAGCACCGTTCAACACGCCAGTGTGGCTTTAAGCTTATTGTTGCGCTTGAGCTTTTGTAATCCCCTCGGGAGGGAACGAAATCTTTCCGAATCTTGGGCTTTTTCTTCTTGTTGTGTTAAGAAAGAAGAAGTGTTTAAAGGTTTCCCACGGTAATGTTTTTACGGTATTGAGATCTAAATATTTTGCTTTGACTTTTTGAAATTAAATTTTATGGGAAAAATCTTTTTTTTCTCTTTATTGACAAAAGGCGGGTACAGAGCTTAAGGAGAAGACAACACACAAATGGACATGAACAAACATGGAGAAACATGGGAAATGTAGTTTTTACTCCTGTTCCTTATCCTCTCCGTGGGTGATGACGTAGCACAGGTTTTTGTAATCCAGGTTGCCAGCCACATCCAAGGGGAAGTTTGTGAACATCTGGTTTACCTAGGTAAATGTCAAAAAATTATTATTAAAATCCATTCAACAATTTCCATGTATTTTAAAATTAAATATTGCATTTTAATGATTTTAAATTATTTATTTTAAAATTAAATAATACATTTAAATTTTGAACTGACACTTGTGCCTTTGCATTTCAAAAGAAAGAAAAGTATATTACCTCAGCCTCAGTAAATTTGTCTGCCTGGGACATAAGGTGATATTTGATCCTGTGAGGGGAAACAAAAGAAATATATTAAATTCTGTGCATTTGAGACTGTTTCAAGTCAAAAGTCGCTGATGTGCTGAAACATTTTTACATTTGCATAAATCTACTTACTCTTCTCCTTTAAGGATTCCTGTGCCCTCTGGGTCGAAGATCTTAAAGGCATTGAGAATAGTCTCCTCAGGGTCTGTACCTGTCAGTCACAGAAAGGTAACATATGATTGATTATTCTGTAATATGTAATAAGTCGAATACACTTTTATACATGTCAAAACCTTAATTAACAATGACATAAGTCATTTCTGGGGGAAGTTGCATTCAAAATCCAAGCTTCTGACGCTAAACTATGTGATCCATATATCAGTATGCAGTGTGTCTGATATCTGCTGGGTTCTGCAGCTATTTGCACCTCATTAGCATGATTATCATTTCAATTATGATAAATTTGATCCTTGCCTTTGAGCTTCTCTCCAAACATGGTGAGGAAGACGGTGAAGTTAACAGGGCCGGAGGCTTCCTTTAGCATCTCATCAAGCTCATCGTTGCCAACATTGAGACGTCCTGCCCAACATGCACATACAGAGATATACATTAATACAGAATGCCACTTCCTCTGATACTTCAAATGGAGTGAGGGTTAACTGTAATGTTCAGTGCAATAAAATAGTTATGAGAGCAGTTTACAAGGCCAGGGGGGAAAATACTTTGGTATATTTTGTGTTACTTTTGAAGCAAAAATTACATTAAAGTCTGAAGCCACACTGAAAATATGGGTTTTTAAGATTTAATTTAAACCTGAAAATGAAAGGGATTTTTTAGGATTTTGAAAAAAATAAATAAGAAGAAGAATAAATAAATAAATAATCCCCCCCCCCTAAAATTTCTAAATTAATTTATAATTTTTTTTCTAAATCAAAATGCAAAATAAAAGCTTTTTTTTTTTTCTAGTGTTCTCAGACGTTTGGACCCTGCTATATACGCATTTATCATTAGTTTGATGGAATGATGAGTTTTGCATCTGAATCTGTGACAAGCATAGTGCTGTAATTTCATTTAGGCTTCACAGCATTCAGTATGAGTCTAAAGAGGAGCCGCTGTAATCCTTAAAACAATACTCTTGTTAGTTCAATAGGATAAACACCTTTAAGTATCAGAGACCTTTAGTGTCGCCAGTATTTACACTGTATACAGTCATTCAGTGAGGGCTGACTCACCCAAAGCAGCAAATGTGTCCCTCAGGTCGTTTTTGTCAATAAAGCCATCTCTGTTCTGGTCCATGATGGTAAAAGCCTGGAAGAGCATTCAGATTTACAGAGGTAAGTACCAAAAATATGCTAGAATAAAATGTTTAGGTAAATGAATCCTAACCAACCTCTTTGAACTCCTGGATCTGTGACTGCTCAAACATGCTAAATACATTGGAGCTGGCAGCTTCCTTCTTCTTGGCCTTCTTTGGTGCCTGGATATCAAGCAAAATTGGTTCAGATGATTTTGTCCAGGCTTACACTTTTTAAATGCAATTTTGAAGCACATAAAAATATAAAATTTATGCAAAAATGGCATGACCCTCAAAGACATTTTGTGTAATTTAGCCACTTTTTGACATTGAGAATTGTCAAAAAGTGGCCCAATTCAAGTAAATGTAGTTGCATTTAGTCAGAAATGCTACAACTTAAACACAAACCGGAACAGACAATGATATTCACTCACTGAAAACCTTTCTGAAATTACAAAAAAAACGTTGCTCTCATGACAAAGACCAAGATACATGGAAGTGAAACTAATAAAAATGCTCTAATTTTAAAGAGACAATTAGAAATACATGCAAATATATAAAACCATCCATGGAATATGCACTTTCTAGCATAAAATAAAACATTCTCTCGGTCTGAAGGACAACGCCGTTCAGTTTCACCGGCATTTCCATGTTAAAGAGTCCAAAAGCAAAGAGATGCAGGCCTACCATTGTGAAGAGCTTCTCTTTACTCTCTTCTTGGTCTCAAAAGCCTGAGGGACACTCAGACATCGTTGGTTTCCAGCTATATATTGGCACAATTGGCTTGACAGCCCACCTGTTCTATGTTTAGACAAAGGAGGAGGAACAATACAAGAATACTTGCCATATAGAGAATCACGTACCCTGCCCTAGTACCCCTCAGTTATTGTTATGGACAGATGCTAGTTGATGTGATCAGAGTGTGTGGGCTTTGCTATCTTGGGATCATTTGGAGCGTCCTAACCCCTTAAGACTCATCTACATCTAATGTGTCGTTTAAAGACAGTGTGAAGCCAACTAGCTTCTCACATCAGTGCATTTGGTCAGATGATGTCGCTATGTCTCCGCTACATGAATTACTTTAATGATTTGATGCTCTTGTTATATTGGTGATCAGTAGAGACACTTTTGACCAGCTTACAAGAATGATTTTCACAGTCAGGAGGCTTAGAGAGCAGACAGGGCTCAGGACCAGTCTAACAAGGGTTCATCCAGTGTATAAACTTTATCTAATGAGTGCTTTTGAGGAGAATCAAACATTCTGGGAAAATGAATCTGAGAAACTAGATGTCCCTATATGAAAAGTTAGTTTAGCAAAGGTTTAGAAAGTATGCTGAAATGGATGTAACAGTAGATAACAGAAATATAATATACGACATATATTGCCCTGTATCAAGAGTGATATTGCCATATATGTTACCTATAAGGTGATATATCATTTTCCCATATGTACATTCTCTGGGTAGACGAACATAGTTAACATATATAAAATCACCATAGTAAAAATAGTATGTATTAATAATATCTATGTGATGATTTTTATATGGTATTATATGTACCAACCATAAATGTCAACAACATAAGTTCTATTTATATATGCAACATTATTAAAATGACATATGTACAAAAAACTGTACGTTTATATACGTTTTTGTAATATATATAATATACATAAACACATATTTGTATGGGATAGATTTATATGTTAACATATGAAATTGTTCCCATTTCTAATAGGTTTCATGTATGCTTCTACATCATATAACAATATATTTAATTTAATTTATGTAATTTAATTTGGTTTAGGATTTTACACATTGAATTAAACATGAAATTTTGAAGTAGACTAAACTACCTTTTTCTTGTGAAACACACTTCAATAATATTTATTTAAAGAAAAAAAAAATCATTATTTTACAGTGTATTTATTACACTCACTACAGTTGGAAATTATTATTATTATTATAATTTTTTACTATTGATTGTATTGCATTTTGTATAGTCTGTGTGAGACTGGGGCTAGTTGTCAGACTCGGGTGAATGTTTCTCAGTTTTATAAAAAAAAAATATATATTTTTTTTTTTAAATGTTTCCATATATGTATAAATATTTTAATTTATTAACCATTAATGCCAAGGAATAAAGATACAGTCCATTAAACACATGCTGACCTTTTGTGACAACATGCCCCAGTGGTGGAGTACTATATTGTCACACTAAGCTGTCACAGTGGGAAACTGCCATTAAATGGCTAATTGATTATTGCATTATTACAATTACATATTTTCATATAATTTATAATAAATAAAAAATAAATAGATTTATAAAATAAAAATAGATTTAGATATAGGCAACACCCAAACATTTCTTGTGGATTTTTCTCTCAAAACCTTTATTTATGAAGAACTTTTGTGTATTCTGATTGTGATTAATCTGTATGCATAGGGCAAAATGAATGCACATTATTGGAACACACACATGTGGAACTCATCCATTTTAATCCAGTCATTTTAACATGTGAGCGCAGTCAAGCCATTGGCTTTAATTTGGCATGCAACTCTTATGAACAAATTGTTTCTATTTTGTCTTCCATTATCTTTTGCGAACAATTGGACTGAACAAAAGCCATTTTCAGCACTACAAATATAGCCAGTCATCCCATGCTTGCCAGATTTAAATGTGCTCAAACAGCCAAGTAATGTGCCGTCAGACTGCCGTAAATAATCTGTCCAGCTATCCGGCACGGCAGCATGTTGTGTTTTAGCAGTGTCCTCACAGACAACTGAACGAACACTGGCCAAGAGAGCTGTGAAGAAGAGCTGCACCATGGGATGTTAGGAATGTCTGCTTGACATTGTACGTGCGTGCGTGTGCGTGTGCGTGTGTGTGTGTGGTCACGACAGGGAGCGTGCCCATGTTAGGTGTGTGACTGGCAGGTGGGGGGCGAGAAAGAGTCAAGGTCTGCTTATGTGTGCTGGCAATAACACAACTGATCGGGAACCTGGCGGGGAAGTGACAGCTTCCTACAGCTGCTTCTTACTGTCAATCACATTAGCCATATGGTTCCATCACACCTCGACAGGCCTGTAAATACATGTTGCTTTATATATGACAACACAGAGATGATGATACACTGCCCTCAATCTCTGAGGCCACATTTTGATCTCTCTGGTTAAATGTCTATGCACATAATGTGTGAATTTCCAAAAGGTTTGTGTGTGTGTGTGTGTGTGTGTGTGTGTGTGTCAGGCCTGTTCTTTTACTAAAAATGTTTAACAAAAACAAATACAAAGCAAGACTTAAAAAAAAAAATGGCATTACAATAAATTTAGTGTGCAATTTGCATGTATGTGTTTGACTGTGTTTAGAGTTATTGTAGTATCATTAATATACTATCATAGTTTTTGTTAATATTTTGAATTTTATTTAGATTTTTAAAAATAAATTTTTTAGACTTTTTAAAAATTAATATTTGTTTTTATATTTTCTGATTCCATTTTAATTTTATTTAAACTTTGTTGTGTGTAATAACACAGTAAAAACCCGGGTGCATTTTATATATTACGTTGTCAACAGCAATTTAAACGTCCTTCAAGTCATGTTGACCATCCAATGTGAATCTTTGAGAGAGTGTGTGTGTTTTTGCATTTGTCAAAATGGCTAATAAAAGTTGATTCAGTACATTAATTTAGATAATCATTATATTTTTCATGATATATATATATATATATATATATATAGATATAAAACTTAATGTAATATAACTGTATGATATAATAAGTAATAAGCATGTAAGAACCCTCATGATAGTTTTCCTTTTCTGCTACTGAAAAAGGAAGTACCCAAAGGACGTGCATCTTAGAAACCTCAAACCAGTTTGTAAATGTCATATATATAATAATTAATTTTAATATAATTATAATTAATTATATATAATTTTATATTTTTTTATGCATCAAATACAGGGACTATTTAATAAACCAGAACTAAAATCAGTGAGGTAAAAAAATTATGTTTTATTTATCTGGTTATTTTTATTATTTTTTTTGCAGCAAATTTTCATATAATATTAAGTAATAATATAATATGAAATCAAAATATATACATATGTGTACAATTTTTAATTTTGTTTAAAGTACCTATATTTAAAATATGACAGCAGTATTCAGTTGTAGTTTGTTTGCCTGCAGATGGAGCAGTTTACCCAGTTGCAAGGACTCTGTAAGTTTCTATATTCCTCCACAAAACATATTACCTGCACTATAGTTAGATCTTCATGGACTTTTTACACATTAAAAAAAAAAATGGAATTACAATAAATTTGGTGCGCAATTTGCATGTATGGGTTTGACTGTGTTTAGAGTTATTGTAGTATCATTAATATACTATCATAGTTTTTGTTAATATTTTGAATTTTATTTAGATTTTTAAAAATAAATTTTTTAGACTTTTTAAAAATTAATATTTGTTTTTATATTTTCTGATTCCATTTTAATTTTATTTAAACTTTGTTGTGTGTAATAACACAGTAAAAACCCGGGTGCATTTTATATATTACGTTGTCAACAGCAATTTAAACGTCCTTCAAGTCATGTTGACCATCCAATGTGAATCTTTGAGAGAGTGTGTGTGTTTTTGCATTTGTCAAAATGGCTAATAAAAGTTGATTCAGTACATTAATTTAGATAATCATTATATTTTTCATGATATATATATATATATATATATATATAGATATAAAACTTAATGTAATATAACTGTATGATATAATAAGTAATAAGCATGTAAGAACCCTCATGATAGTTTTCCTTTTCTGCTACTGAAAAAGGAAGTACCCAAAGGACGTGCATCTTAGAAACCTCAAACCAGTTTGTAAATGTCATATATATAATAATTAATTTTAATATAATTATAATTAATTATATATAATTTTATATTTTTTTATGCATCAAATACAGGGACTATTTAATAAACCAGAACTAAATTCAGTGAGGTAAAAAAATTATGTTTTATTTATCTGGTTATTTTTATTATTTTTTTTGCAGCAAATTTTCATATAATATTAAGTAATAATATAATATGAAATCAAAATATATACATATGTGTACAATTTTTAATTTTGTTTAAAGTACCTATATTTAAAATATGACAGCAGTATTCAGTTGTAGTTTGTTTGCCTGCAGATGGAGCAGTTTACCCAGTTGCAAGGACTCTGTAAGTTTCTATATTCCTCCACAAAACATATTACCTGCACTATAGTTAGATCTTCATGGACTTTTTACACATACGTATTACACAATACGCAAGCAATTTACATTTCAAATGTTGCATATGAGTATTTATGGTAAAGATTTATTTTTTATGACTAAATATCAGACACCTTTCCATTGATCCACTGATCACGTGTACATATGGAAACAGTCAGATGCACACACATCCCCAGAACAATGCCCTCCTCACATCTCTGCTTGTCTCTTCATTATGTTAATTTGCCATGTCTTTGCATCTCCATAATTAAAATCTAATCCTGAATGCCGACTTTTTAAACGAGGACTAGCCTCAAGAGGAGGCTTATTTGATTAAAAAAGGGGAAGGGTAGAGGAGGGAGTCCTCCACAGCTCGGCAGGCAGGAGAGATAGCTCTTAATTGTGCTCCCATGAGGTGTGTGCACGCCTGGGTGGAGAGAGGGGGGGCTGGGTGCTCAGAGGCTCCAGTGGGCCTGAAAAAACAAACCGCCAGTGGGACCGGCTCTCCTGCGCAGCTCCCCTGCTGTCTC